AGAGCTTAAATACTTAAATGTTCAACATGTCTTTCTCTAAAGTACCTTTAATTTGGTTTATTTTAAATAATTAACCTCTTTAATTGTTTATTAACAGTTATGAAAAATGCTAAATATACCTTTTGAAAGAATTTGATAATTGAAAAATGGAGAAAACGAGGAAAATGTGTATTGCGGTCCAAAATGAATTTCCGGAAATACTAGTCAGAAGCTATACGTATAATATATCGTTGGACAACGGATAATTTCAGAGAAAAAAAACATACCTAATATAGAAAGTAGTAGAAAGTAATGGAGAGTGCCAAGAATTATAAATAATAATTTTTCAAAACTAATATTTTTTAATGAAAATCGCATGTTTTCAAGATTCAAACTTTTTTAAGTTTGAAAAACAAATTTAAATTCAGCTAATCAAGGCAATGGCATTGTTAAAAAAACTATTTCACAGTACTAATGTGAAAGAAGAAGTGAAATATAAAAATATTTCATGGATTTATAAAGCATATGTTTATAATCTTAAATACATTCACTGTAGTTAAATAATTCTAAATAAGACATTATATTTAAATAATTAGGTATCAACATACGTTTATTCCGAAAAATCGTCTGTAATCTTTTAAAAAATTTAATTAGTGAATAATTTGATGAATTTTCTCTTTGTGAAATCCAAACATTATCCGCTTAAAATTAGTGTAAAAACTTTAGATCTATCTATGGCAGACAATGAAAACCTCGTAATTTCTTTGTAGTAAACTTAACAATAGAAAATAACAGTTTAATAACTAATAGTCGTACAATCAATAATCATTTATTGGTTGAATATATAGATATATTTTCAAATCTCTCTAGGAATATATATATTGCTTAGAGACTGGACTTATGTGGTTTAAAAAAACAGATGGAGCACCGAGTTTTTTATTGTCTACCGTTGATATAATTAATAGGGTTTTTGTTATTTTAGTGGTCTTATTGATTTGTTAGCTGAAAACTTTAAGCTATAGCTCCATTAAAAGTGCACTTGAAAAATTTTGGTTTATTATTTTTAATAATGATCGACCATAAAATTCAAAATTTTAACCCCCTCTCAAAATTTGAGGTTTCACGTTTCAGGATAAGTAGAATTCGAACAACGAATAAAAATTTGATTGTCCGTCCGCCGTACGTCGAAACTACTGGACCGATTTATTTCAAATTTAGATTTAAAGTCAGAGGTCACTTGAGGATGATCCTCCTTCATCGACAATAATATTCGCCTTTTCCTTTCAAGATGGCTCCCGAAAAACCTGTGTTGCTATAAACTATAGTTCATAAACGAATGAATGTACGGATTCCTATGAAATTAGGCTAAAGTACACTTCTCGAGGCCCTTTAAATTTATCTATATAACATACTTCAACGCAAAGAAGCTGGAAAAATGTTGAGAGGGGTAAATATCTAATATCAAATTAGCTTCCGAATAACTCATTGTGTAAAGTTATTTAAAAGTTTATAAAATTTCCTAAAAAGCAAAAAAAAAAATCGTTAAAATCGGTCAATTTGGAGCAAAGATGTGGTCTCTAGATGTCTTATATATATTCTACTGCAAAGGTTATATCATTTGTTTTGGATTTTGATTTTTGAATGTGTTACTGAAGTAATGCTATTTTTTTTTTTTGCAAATCACTAATGATAAAAAAAAAATGTTTAGGTCAATAATTGTAATTAGCTTTTATTTATTTTTCTTTGTTACTAGGAAGGCAATGTTACTTTAGATGTATAATGTTTGCAAATAATAAAACATTGTGAAATAATTTGCAGCGTTTTTCAATTGCTCATCATTGCCAGAAAATAATTTATATTCAAAGTAGAGCGGTAAGTGAAAGTTGTGTGTTGCGCGCACTAGATATTTTTACTAGAACATGCAGACAAAAAAAAATTTTCATCGATTCCTGCGGCAAATCAAATGCCTAAAATGCAATGAAATCAACGAGCAGAATATGAGACGGTAAATAGAACTAAATTGTAGGAAAAAAAGGTGTTTAGTTAGCGGAGGCGACTGAAAACTGGGGCTCACGTATAACACTCGAGAGGAATACTTAAACAGCTCTGTCAATGGGGCATTCTAAAACTGTCTGTTTCAGGGTTTGGAATATTAAGGCACTCTTCTAGACTTAGAAGGCTACTTCTTGTCTACATATTCAATATCGAAATATTTTCGGTTCATTCTCGATTCAATTAAAAAAAATACTGGGTATTCATGCAAATAAAGCTAAGTATTGTAAACCTCTACTGAAAAAACTGTGACAAAAAATAAAATACAAAAAAAATTATTTCGTAAAGTAACGGTTTTATTTTGTTACCTCGAAGAAGGTTAGATGAAATTAAGTAATTAATATTAGTTTTAATAATAAGTATAAGTTTATAACTAGTCCCGTGCGAAAAATTCGCAGAAAATTCTGTTTAGTGAAGAAATAGCAAAACAATATGGAAATTTGTAGTTCCTATGTATTATATAAGGAAGGAATTATTATTTTTTCCTAAGTCAATTACAATATTCCATTAAACATAATAGACCAAAATATTTGTACAAATTGCTTTGCTAGGACATATTTTTAAACGCTGACTGGAATGATCATAGGATATTCTAAAATATTAAAATAATAAAATTTAAGAACAAACAAATACCTTTAAGAAATAGTAAAGTTAATATATCAGCCAGGACAAAAAATGTAGTAGACTATTCTACTCCTAAATGCAATCAGGAAGGCATTATAAAGTATACCAAAACTAATGGACTGTATCTTTGTTAATAATTGCCCGAATTTTACGATTTTGGTTTTGTTTTGTAGGTAATTTAATAATATTTCTAATAATTATGGGTTCAATCATATTCGAGGACCTTTCGAGTTGCGAAATACAAATCTCAACTCAGTTTCTCCTTACAAACATATTTCAACACCAGATCAGTGTGTTAAATATGACAGCTATCACAATAGATTTTAAGACGGTCTGGGGTCTGTTAATTTCGTAAACCTAGCACCCAATATGGCAAGAAAGACGGGGACAACTCCGTTGGAACCAATTAATAAAATCCCTTTAGGGGACTATAAGAGAAAGATTAAGATGGATGTATGGAAAATTTGGGATAAGTGGAAGCAAAAGGATTCTAAATTGAGAGAAATAAAATCCGACTGCTCAAAATGGGAAATCCCTTGTCGATAGAAAAGAAGAAACAGGCCTCTGCAGATTACGAATTGGACATTGTGAGCTCTCGCACTCCTACCTACTAAGAGGACTTTATCCTGCGACCTGTGAGAGCTGCAATGTCCAAAGAACTTTAAAACACATTATTCAAGACAGCACTATACTAAAAAATATCAGAGAAAATTTGGATATAGCACCAAACCTATCAGAAAAGACAACGAAACGGCTGTTAAAAAACATTTCTAAAAGCAGTGAAAATCTATAATAGAATTTAATAATAAGGTGTTGCCTATGATCCAGCAAGGTAGAGGCAAGAAAGAAAGACTAAATAAAAATAAATTTCGTAAACGTGCGGGAAAGATTATTATAAGGTTTATAATATTCATCTTTTTTTTTTATTCTTTCCATTACTTTTGTTTTAAAGGAAATCATAGGTGAAAACTTTGGAGGGAGGGGGGAGTGAGAGCGATTGCCGTTTGTAATTTCAAATTTAAATATGTAATATTTTCAATAGCTTCGTTAACAGATTTTCAATTATACACGAAAGCACAAATAAAGAAAAATAATAATACCTACATAAACAGTATTTATTATTTATTTATTTTATTTTAACATTTTATGAAATTTTCACCTGCCCAGCAGTGCATCTAGCAAATCTGATGTATTAGCCATTTGTTGCAAATTTGCTTAATTATTATTATTATTTAGCAGGAATAGAAAGGACTGATGGATTGATGTGATTTAGAACTGAAGAATGAAATGAACTGAATTTGTTGTGGATGTAGGATTTTACTGTTGGGATGTTTAAGTCGTTGTGTATATTGTTATGTGAAATGTAGCAAGGTGCGTTGACATTTTTTTGTAGAATTTTCGATTATGTTGTTTGTATTTTATTTATGTGTGTTTGTTTTGCCAAACCCAAAATTTCTGATCCGTATGTCCAAATTGGTCTGAGTATAGTGTTGTAGATCAGTAGCTTGTATCGTAAGTAAAGTGAGGATCTGTAGTCTAGAAGATGTGAGTTGTATCGGTTATATCGTCTAGTTAGTTCTTGTCTTTTTAATTTCGTATGTATGTTCCAGGTAAGTCTTTTGTCTAAGTAGAGTCCATGGTACCGTACATAATTTTTTTGAAGGCACTGGGTTATTGATTATGGGTGGACATGAGGCTTTCCTAAGAGAGAAAGTCATTTGGATGGAATTTTAATTTTCCATTTTTCAAAATAATTTTGAAGACCATAGAGGTGCTTTTGATTATTATACTGTTCGTTGTACAGTAATTATGTAGATTATGGTAATTATCGCTCATAATTTTTGTACTTAATATAAACTCCCGGGACCTTTTGGAGGAGGAGGAAGGCGTGGCCCCTTTGGAAATTCTGTACCAATAAAATATAAAGAAAGATGCTTCTACTTTTGTTATCAGAGTCTTAGCGAAGAAGGAATATTCGTAATATTTTGAACAAGAAATGAATCAAAGTGTCAAATCTGAAGATAATCTTATCTAGATTCTTGTCTAAGACTTTATTTTCTTTAAAATTTAATATTATCAAATGCTTTCCTCATTGAAACGTAGAGTTGTAATTGGAGTAGCGGTTACTCAACAAGATTAAAAACACCTAGCATGTTTGATTGTTCCTTTCATACACCAATCTCCAAGTAAAATAGAACTAATGTGGAATTGAACTCTATGGTTCATGATAGACCATATAAACTCAGTGGTACAGTATTGGTACAAGGAACATCGATATTGGTATTCGACTTAAAGGAAGATAGTACTCAATCCTAAGAAGAGGTAGAAGAATCAGAAGAACTTACCATCAGAGGACGTCGTGGCCCCGTCTACCGTCTCCATGTAATGTGCCTTGCAGAGTACCCTGTCTTCGTGGAGGGCGAACTCTTCGCCGGTGGACAACTGCCTCTTGCAGGCCTCGCAGGCGAAGCAGGCCAAGTGGTAGACGTGTTCCCTCGCCTTTCGTACCCAGTCCCTCGAGGATATGCTGCGCGAACATTTAGAGCACTTTGCTCCGAAACTTCTGAAAAAGAGATGACATTCTTATAAATTAAAATTTAAAAACAACATAAAAAATAAATGCTTAAAATATAATATAAAAAATATCACAATGCAAAGGCTTAATTGGTTTCTAACATGGAAAAAAAATCTGGTGAACGCATCACACGATTTTCACTTTCGTTCAACTTTGAATAGAAATATAAATGGTAAATGGTTGACTGTCGTAGGTAATGAACAGAAGAATAGTTGGGGTGGTCAGTCAAAAAAGAAGGCAAAAATAAATGATAATATTTATTTTTACATATGCCGACGTTTCGACCTGAAGTTCGACTGGCCTTCATCAGAGATGTCTCCAAAAGTGTTGCAGGAAGAATCAGGGAGATTATCCCTGCAACACTTTTGGAGACAGCCCTGATGAAGGCCTGAACTTCAGGTCGAAACTTCGGCATATGTAAAAATAAATATTATCATTTATTTTTGCCTTCTTTTTTGACTGACCACCTCAACTATTCTTCTCTTCATTGAATAGAAATAATTTTCTGGCCATGTTGAGCTATTATAAAATTTTTTAATTGTCTTTTAACTGAGCTAAAGCTAAAATCTTACAGCTAAAAAATCATAAACACCATTAAAATAACAAAAGTTCTACTTAATATATCACCGGTTGATTATGGATTGTACGACTATTAGTTATTAAACTGTTATTTTCCATTGCAAATTTTACTAAAATGGAATTAAGAGATTTTCATTCTCAGTCATTGATAGGTCAAAATTTGTCATATTAATTGTAAGTGGATACTGGTGGAAAATTCATTAAATTATTCACTAATTTCCTTTTCTAAAAAGTTACATGACGATTTTTCGAAATAAACGGAAGTTGACACCTAAGTATTTAAATATAATATCAGATCTAGAATTATTAAACTACAGTAAATGTATTTAACGTTACGAACATGAAAGTATTCTTTTAAAATTATTGTTTTCTTATAGAGTTATTTATTCTTAATAATCTATCCTAACGATATTACACTAATGTTACCCTATTAATCTTTCAATTTCTTTACTTCTTAACCTTTAGTCCCGTTATCTGTTTATTTACAATTAAAGGTAACCTCCACTAGCTTGTTATCCACTGATATCTTATTATTATGTTATCTTATCCTTATTTTAACTTTACTGTAACTATACTTATTCAATTTTCAATATATTTATTCGTTAACATTCATGTATTTATTTTCTTTATCTGTTAACCCACAGTTATCTAATGTAATCTCTATTAGTTTGTTAAACACTTATTCCTTATCTTTTATCGCAATCTGTTTACCTTTAACTTACATGCTATATTCTCCTCTATTTTTATTTTTATTCCTACTTATTTTCCATTTATTTGTATCTTCTACATATATAATTCTTAATATTTAACTACATTGTCACCCACTATATCTCTGATACCATCTTTTATTTCTGTATCTGACAACTTCTTCTTATTTTATATATACTTATATTTAATTTTTATTTTCAACATGTTTTGTATCTTTTGTAGCCCTGAAGACGACCTACAAAGTGCAAAAATTAAAATAATTAATATATTTTAATTTTTTATTTATTTGACCGCACCCTCGACTAACTTTTTCTCATTTAAATGAAATCATTTAAATTTCACTTCTTCTTTCACAAAAGTACAATGAAATAGTTTTTTAAACAATGTCATTGTCTTGATTAGGTGGATTTTTAATACTTTTTCAAACTTAAAAATATTTTTTAAAAGTTCATATTTAGTTAGTAAATTTCATTTAATTTTCTTGAATACATGTGATTTACATTAAATAATATTATTTTTCCAAAATCATTATTTATAATTTTTTCGCTTCTCTCCGTCACCTTCTACAACTTTCTATATTAAATATTGTTTTTTTTTCTAAAATTCTTCGATTTCCAACGATATATTATACGTACACCTTGTGACTAATATTTTCGGAGATATATTTTTTACCTGGATAAGCATTTTTAATTTTTCCTCTTTTATTAACTTTTGAAATGTTATGTTTAACATTTTTTTCGTAAAATAAACTATATAAAATGTACTCAATATAGAGGAATACTCAAGCCTCTTTTGATGAATACACGATCAATTTCAAGATTACCCAAGAATCGATTAATTATAACCTTTCAGATATCCTCGATATTGAGGTAGATTTTTAGGTGTTCGATGACGATGACGAAACTGTGTTCGTTTCTAATATTTTCATTATATATTAATTATTGTAATTTAATTCTGAATTATTACCTGTTTTTATTCAATGTACAAACATCACTCGCTGTTCAATATGTCATTTGTAATGTCTAATGTGTAGATATAAATTATAGATAATGTTTTTCCTAAAGCTATTGCTAGAATAAAAACAGAAGTGAGGTCCGAAAGAGAGAGAGAGAGAAGCGACGGGACTGGTATACTAATTATTCCAGATAATTAATTATATCTGTTGACCGTTAATTTATTGGAGCAGTTAGTTTTTTTTAACCAGTTTTTTAATTGGAGGATTTACATTTCCGATCTGTGAGGTCCTTATCTGAGGAGAGTGCGCTATGTCCATCAAGTGGGCCGTGGTTTCCGCTGCCACCTCGATCTCACAGCCTCGGGAATGAAGACATCGATAGCTGTGATCGATTACTTAAGAATTTCTATTATTAATCGCTAAGGTCTTTCTTATTCGCTAGAGTTTTTGTAACAGAGCTTTGTCATACGTGTTTATAAATAGAAGACTATTTGGCACTATTGTTTCTACTGTTTATGGACTATAGCACGTCTTTCTTTAAACTTTTAACCGAAAACTACACTGGTGATAGCTATAAGAAATATTTGATGTGAATTAAATGAAAAAGAAAATGAAATAATGTTCTTCTTCCTTAGATATCAAATATGGCGAGAAAGAAATACGTTTATAGTTAACAAAATCACCATAGAAGATTTTTTACAGCATTGAAGTGCGAAAAATGTGGCAGAACGAAAAAAAATGCCAACAAAAAGTAACCAAATTAAAATTAATATAAAACCACTATTCCAAATGAAAAATCTCTAACCGACTCTCTAGGAAATCAGAGACATTACTCTGCCGATTAATAATTGGAAATTGTGAATTTTCATATGCCAATCAACAAAGTGGATTATGCATATCTACACATCATTCAATAATGATGGCACTAAGACTGAAAGAAAACTTGATTGACAATAAAAAAAAAACTGAGAAAACAACTAAGGTTCTTAAGACCACACGATATAAGTGAAAAAATCAACAAGGCGAGATTTATAATATGAAATATAAATTATAAATAATAGCTCATTACAAAGAAAATGAAATGTTGAACATTTCCTTCGCTTATAGTATACAGGTACCATTTTTAGTATCTGTAATATTTTAATCCATATGTTCAACTAACCTTATCATTTGGTTTTCGACATTATTTTTCCTTTCCACTCCCTAACACAGCGTCGCTTGAAGATACAATTTTGAGTTATAGCCCATTACAGAGAGGATGAAATGCTGAACAATTTCCTCGCTTACAGTATGCAGACCCGTTTCATATTTGCTGAGATATGTTAATCCATAAGTAAACATATTTTAAATTAGTCGACTCTAGCCGACTTTACCAGAGCGTTAATGCCGAACGAAATCTGACAGATCAATCTAATCCAATCTCCACAAAAAAAGTGCAAAATGAGCCCAAAAAAGTTTTCACTTAAAAAACTATGGAATTCTTAAAAATTATAAAACTCTATAACAGAGTTTTATTAAAAGGGGTTTCTAATGATCCTACAGGATAGAAGCAACCAAAAAACACAATTTTTTAAAAAAACTATTTATTCAGGATATTTACAACTCTATTACAATATAAATACATCAAGTAAATGTGTACACAAGAATATAATATCACTTGAAAATGCTTGTTGAGAAACTACTCACAGGTAGCACTCTAATAATATGTCTACATAAGGAGATCACGGGGCCATCTTCTTTTCAGACGCTTCGGAGGGTTATCAGTAATCGAAGAGGAAACAAGGTTAGAAACGAGAGGATTCGGATAGTTATGAAGTTTATTATGGAAGGGTAGGTATCTGGATTGGGCCAAATCGGAAACACATCGAACATCAAGGCCATTATGGATTATTTTATTTGTGAAAAAGTAAGGAGCATTGAGGATTTTACGAAGGATTTTAGATTGTAAGGATTGGAAGTTTAGAGCGTTTGTCAAGTGAGTGTTGGGGTAAGCGGAAACGTCAAGCAGTTTCTTGTCGTTTCAGTCTTGTATGAGGATTCCAAGTGAGACGTTTGTCCAGGTGAAGTCCATGATATTGTATTTTTTCAACAGGAATAAGTGGGGTGTTATTAAAGGATACTGTAGGACAGGGAGTCATAGGTTTACGAAAAAAAAAACACAATTAACTAAATAAATGCAAATGAATGGTTATTAGAAAATTGGTTATTTCTGTTTTACCAACTTCAGTCTAATTTCAACCATAGTATTTTGTAAAATTAGCATTTCCCAGCTTGAACTCTCAAATTAGATATATATTCTCCTTCACAATAAATCTGACGTATAAACAAAATCTGTTAAATATGTTTTATACATTATTTTATATTAGTATACAATTTATCTTAATCAATGAAGGTAATAACAATAAATGACCCAAAGTTATGGAATATTTTACTTTTATTAAAAGAATTTCAAAAACATTTTTTTTTTCTGTTCCCTGTATTAACAATCAGCAGTTGGAAATAAGTCTTTCAAACACAATTTACAAATTAAAAGATTGGCTGATTAATTTAGCTTCGTTTGAATATTCATTACGAATTAGGATGGAATTTTAATGCAACAATTACAACCAAACACGATGGTATACTGGATTCAATTGAAAGAGAGTTATTAAATATTTTATTTATTATTTTATGTTTAATTTATTGCTAAATTGTTCATTTCTTATTTTTTTCCAGCAAATATTGCAATTCTTTTCCCTAATGCATT